GGAGTGCGGGAGCTCCCGGGGCGGCGAGGACGCGGGGTCAGAGGCTGTGCAGGGAGCTCACGCCCACCTTGTACCCCGAGGCCTTGACGTGCAGACCGCGCTTGGTGAGGGTGGATTTCATGCGGACGAAGAAGGAGCGCTCCTGGGCCCGGGAGGAGGGGGGCACCTCGGTGGGGCTGGCCTCTGGGCGGAGTGAAGGAGAGTTGTGGGGTCCTGAGGAGGAAACACACAGAGGCGCCCCCTCCCCGCCCCCTTCAGAGCGAGCCAGAGGCCCACCCACCTGACGGATCTACGAGCTCATTGGGTCTACAATAACCCCCCTCCATGCAGCGGCCTTTCTCAGGCTCAGCTCTGACCCCGGCACCTAACACGTGGGCAGGAACTGCGTCCTACTGACACCCTCTGAGGTCACCATCTCCTCCAGGAAGCCCCCCTGACCCCGGCTGGGTCGGAGCCCCTCTGGGGTCTTCACCACACCTGCCCCAGCTGGGCCTAGGCCCTGGGAGGGTGGGGTTGGGCTCTTGTCACTACTGTGTCCCCAGCCCTGCCCAGCACAGAGCTGGGCGCGGAGCAGGGCATCAGGGTGTAGCAACAGAGAAGACTCGCAAATAGCGACTGGTCTATAAGCCCCTGGTACAGTCATAAATGTGCTCACACCCAGGTGACCCTGGGCCTCAAATTTAGGTGCAGACATCATCACAGCCCCACACATCTCCCCAAACTTGCAATCACTGCTGACAACTCAGATGGTTTTGGTGCAAAGCAAACCCCATGTAAGAAAATCTTATTTACTGGAAAGTTGACCTCACAGCCCCCTCCACACCTGGGAGCCAAAAGGAACTGTCCGGGTAATCTAACACCCGCCTCCTCCGCATGGAGTGGAATTTTCCATGGAATTTTCCATTGGAAGGAAGGGTGAGGAGCACACTAGATCCTGGAGCCAGACCAGCCGGGGTTGGAATCCAGCTCCACTTACAGCTGTGACCTCGGACAGGTAACTTAACCTCGCTGTGCCGTGCCTCAGTTTCCCCCTCTGTAAAACGAAGAGAATAACGGGTCCTGCTCTGTGGGATTGTGGTTAGGATTCCATGAAATTGTGTAGTTACAGGCTCAGCACATGTAAACACCCTGTAAGCGAGTGTGCACCGCTATTTACCTGTCACCCACAGGCTGCCAGAGGGGTCTTTCTAAAGCTCAAAACTTGGGGATTCAGGCAATCTTAGGGGGCCAAGTCTTCCTGCTCCAATTTAGACTCTAAAAGCTTGTTTTGCACAACTCTAAGGAGAGTGGGTTTGGTTTACATGTAACATCGCTGGATACAATGTACCGGTTGTCCCTGCATCAGGCCTCATTCTTTGGGGGCCTTGGAATTACCGATCTCAGGAGTATCGGCAAGCGATGAGGAAGAGGAGGAAGAGGAGGGGATGGAGGGCGGGGTGGGGGGCCCGGAGGTCCGGGTCCGCAGTCCCAGCTGCTCCAGGACCTCTGAGTGGTCCCCGGGATGGATGTAATCGAAGACGCTACTGCCCGTCAGCTCCACCTGCCGGCGAAGGGGAGGAATACAGGCGGGTAAGGTGCGCGCAGCCACCGGCCCTCCCGTTTGGCCAACTGTTCATAAGCTTAGCAGCGGTTCTCAACCTGGGGGTCGAACGACCCTTTCACAGGGGTCGCCTAAGACCATCGGAAAACACATATATAATTACATATTGTTTTGGTGATGAATCACTATGCTTTAATTATGTTCAATTTGTAACAATGAAACTGGGGGTCACCACAACATGAGGAACTGTATTAAAGGGTCGCGGCATTAGAAAGGTTGAGAACCACTGGCTTACAGGCAGGAGTACTTCGTGCCAGTCTTGTGTTTTTATTAGAATTTTTAAGTTTTTTTTAAACTTTCTCACCTGAGGATATTTTTTCCCATTGGTTTTTTTAGAGAGAGTGGGAGGGAAGGGAGGAGAGAGAGAGAAACATCAATGTGTGTGAGAGAGTTACATCGCTTGGTTGCTTCCCGCAGGCTGCCTTGAATCGAGCAACCCGGGTATGTGCCCTTGACCGGGAATCGGAATTGGACCTGGACCCTTCAGTACGCAGGCCCAGCTCTATCCCGGCCGGGGCCAGGGCAAAAGGAACATCTGTAAAGGAGGAGGCTAACCTGGGCTCTTCCTCTGCCCGCCCACGTCAAAGCCAGTGATCATTAAGGATTTTCTGCCCCGCCTACTCTGCTAAGAAGCTGTGTAGGGCCCTAGCCCGTTTGGCTCAGTGTATAGGCAGCCGTGGGCAAACTACGGCCCGCGGGCCGAATCCGGCCCGTTTGAAATGCCCCGCCTACTCTGCTAAGAAGCTGTGTAGGGCCCTAGCCGGTTTGGCTCAGTGGATAGAGCGTCAACCTGTGGACTGAAGGGTCCCAGGTTCGATTCCGGTCAAGGGCACATGCCCGGGTTGCGGGCTCGATCCTCAGTGGGGAGCATGCAGGAGGCAGCCGATCAATGATTCTCTCTCATCACTGATGTTTCTATCTTTCTCTCCCTCTCCCTTCCTCTCTGAAATCAATAAAAATATATATATATTTTTAAAAGAAGCTGTGTAGGGAGTTGGGATGGAGAGGTGTCATAGCCTCTAACTCACAGCAAACAGCTGTGCCCTGAAATGAGTCACAGGATTTCCCAGCAGGAATGGGATTCAAGATACAAACGGTGGAATTAGGACATTTCAGTCAGACAGACTTTTGCATTCAATCCCCCGCCCCCCAATCTTGCAGCAGTCCCACATCTCCCCCAATCCAGGCCCCATATTCTCCCCACTGTGTTCCTGCCCCAGCATCCTCACTGGTCGTCTGGCCTTCAGTCCCCACTCAAATGGGGAGCCCCCAGAGGTTTCTCATCTGGCCATGGCCCTCCTCCCCTCAGACATCTCCCAGAGCTGGTGGAGGTGGGGAAGGGGACGGAGGGAGGTAAGAGACATCTGTAATAATGTCAACAATTCAAAAGAAATAAAAAACCTCCCATGGCTCTCACCGCCCCAGGGCTTGGGGTCATCCCCTGAACTCCTCCCCTCATCCAGCCCTTCCCACACCAGCTTCAAGCCTCCCCTCCCTCCCTCCCTTTCTCTTGCCCACATTCCCCTTCCTTCAGGTTCATCCTCCTCCAGAAATCAACAACTCACTAAAAGCTGCTCACAGAGGCCAAGGCACTGAATTGTCGAAATTCACCATCCGCCGAAATCTTTCTAAAAAACGATAAAAGTTGCTAGCAATTGGCATTGACTGGATTGGCGAGGCCTACGATGCCACAGGAGCCAGGACTCCGGACACAGGGGCTTTCAAACGCCACAGAAAACCTTCCAGTGCTCGCAGATCCCAAGCCCCACCTGTACAAATTGTTGTGATCTTTTAAAACTGTTATGAAGAAACACGTTTGGGTAAATATGGTGTATTTGGCCACCACTCATGGACAAACTGGTCTCTCTGCTAATTTGCTTCTTTCAAATTGACCTGTTACTTTTTGTTTTTAAATATTTTTATTGACTTCAGAGAGGAAGGGAGAGAGATAGAAACACCAGTGATGAGAATCATTGATCGGCTGCCTCCTGCACGCCCCCTACTGGGGATGGAGCCTGAAACCTGGGCATATGCCCTTGGTTGGAGTCGAACCCGGGACCCTTCAGTCTGCAGGCCGATGCTCTATCCACTGAGCCAAACCAGCTAGGGCTTGTTTTGTTTTTAAATTATTTTTTCTTTGACCCGTGACTTCGATAACCCTCCTCTGACCGCGAGGAGGAGCCATGTTGGGTGCCATGTGGGGTTCCAAGGAACACACTTTGGGAACCACGGATCCAGTCCCTTTTTCACGCTGGGATGGTGAGGTCAAGAGAGAGGAGGGGGATGCCTGGGCCGCCAGGGAGGTGGCGGTGGCGCCAGTCCAGGCAGCCTGCTGAGGTCCTTACCTGTGAGAGACCCAGGTAAATGGAGACGGTCTCTGAGATGTAGAGGAACTTCCCCTCCTGGCTCAAGGCAAACACAAAGCCATCCAGGGACTAGAGTGGGAGAGACAGGGCGGGGAGAGGAGGGCCTGGCGTCTGTAAGAGGTTCTGAAACCTTATCTCTGCCAGGATGGATTATTTTTTTGGGAGCGGAGGACGGGGCCTCACTGGCCCTGGGAAGGGGCAGGCAGGAAGGGGGCCCCCAGCATGCGCCTCCCAGGCCTGGCGCTCTCCTGCGATGGATGCGGGAGAGAGGGTGCTGTTCTCCGAGCAGGCCACCAGGTGGCAGCATTGAGCAGCAGGTAGGGAAGGGGCCTCACCTGCAAGATGTGTCCTCCCAGGTGCTGCTCGAAGATTTCGGAGACCAGTGCGACGGGGCCCCTGCGGCCTGGGGCTGGGGACAGAGGGACCGGTGAGGCCGGGGCCTGCGGTCTGGCCGACCCTGGCCTTCTGGGAAGGACCCCAGGGAACCAGGCTACGAGTTTCCTCTCTTCCTCCCAGTCCTGAGCCATCATGGGGTATTGAGGGGCCCTGGGCCCTGGGGGGGAGAGACCTGGGATGTGGGGAGGAGTGAGAGGGGCAGAGGTAGGCTGGACAAACAGAGAGACAGAGAGACACCAGGGGATACAGAAAGGGATTCATTCATTCATTCATTCATCCATCCATTCATTCATTCATTCAGCAAACTCTCCCTGAGCTCCTGTGGCCAGGCTCTGTGTTGGGAACACCGCAGTGACCCACACAGCCCGGTCCTACCCTCACAGGCACCCAGGCCATGGCACATAAACAAGTAAAAAATGAACAAGGAATTAGCATTTGTGCTCTGAAGAAACAAATAGATGATGTGGCCCTAGCCGGTTTGGCTCGGTGGATAGAGCATCGGCCTGTGGACTGAAGGGTCCCGGGTTCGATTCCGGTCAAGGGCAGGTACCTTGGTTGCAGGCTCCCTCCGGGCCCGGGCCCTGGTCGGGGCTCTTGCAAGAGGCAACCAATCGATGTGTTTCTCTCACATCGATATTCCTCTCTGTCTTTCCCTCTCTCTTCTACTCTCTCTAAAATAAATGGAAAAATATCCTCGGGTGAGGATTAAAGAATAAAGAAAGAAATAGATTATGTGAAATGAGGAGGAAGGTGGTGAGGCCTGTTGAAGGGGGAGGGGGTAGCTGAGCTCAGACCTGCAGGATGAGAACGAGGCAGAGAGGAGACTGAAAAGGAGAAAGAGACACACACAGAGACAGAGACAGAGCACACGCAGAGATTGAGAGACAAAGGCACAGAGAGACAACTAGATGGACAGAGAAGTGTACAGAGAGCTCTAAAGGAACAGAGAAAGAGATAAAGGAACAAAGAGATCTAAAGGAACAGAGAAAGAGATAAGGACATTAGAGCTCAACAACAGCCCATTGAAAAATGAGCAAAGGACCTGAATAGACATTTCTCCAAACCAGATCTACAAATGGCTAATAAGCCCATGAAAAGATGCTTAAACTCACTAGTCATTAGCAAAATGCAAATCAAAACCACAATGAGAGACCACTTCACACCCACTAGGATGGCTACACACACACACACACACACACACACACACACACACACACACAGAAAATAGGTGCCAGGCGAGGCTGTGGAGAAATTGCACACCCACACCCTCGCCCGTGCATTGCTGGTGGGAATGCTAATGGCACAGCTGCTCTGGAAAACAGTGCGGTGGGTCCTCAGTAAGTTAAACATGGAATTACCATCTGACCCAGCAATTCCACTTGTGGGCATATGCCCCAAAGCATCAAACACATGCTCTAGCAAGTACTTGTCCATAAATGTTCACCGCAGCAGTATTCCTCACAGCCCAAGGTGGAAACAAATGTCCATTAACTGATGAGTAAACAAAACGTGCTGTATTCAGACCATGGAATATTATTCAGCAATAAAAAGGAATGAAGCAGTGATCCTAGCTACGACTTCGGTGAACTTTGAACACATTGTGCTAAGCGAGACAAGCCAAGTCTGAGAGGACATATATTGTACTAGAGGCCCGATGCACCAAATTTGTGCAAGGGGTTCAGCCCTCGCAGCCCTGCCCACTGGTCGTTTGGGAAGGTCATTCTGGAAGGTCGTTCCACCATCGGGTCTAATTAGCATATTAGCTCTTTATTATATAGGATGATTGCATTTATATGAAATGTCCAGAATAGACAAATCCCTAGAGACAGAAAGCAGATTGGTGGCTGCCAGGGCTGGAGTTGGGGGAGGGGGAGGGGCGTGACTGCTAAGGGTACAGGGTTTTAGGGCAATGATGAAAATGTTTTGGAACTAGACAGAAGTGATGGTTGCCCAACATTGTGAATGTACTAAATGTCACACTAAATGGTACATTTTAAAATGATGAGTTTCATGTTATAAATTTTACCTCAATAAAAAAAAATTAAGAGGTAGGGCCTGGCCATGTGGCTCAGTGGTTGAGCCAAGAACCAAGAACCAAGAGGTCCCTGGTTTGATGCCCGGTTGTGGGCTCAATCCCCAGTATGGGGCGTGCAGGAGGCAGCCGATCTATGCCTCTCTCTCATCGATGTTTCTATCTCTCGCTCCCTCTCCCTTCCTCTATCTCTAAAAGTCAATCAAAACATTTTTAAAAAGTAAAAAAAAAAAAAAAAAGATAGGGACAGAGACATACATAGACATAGAAACTGAGGAAGGCGGAGAAACATAAAAAGATGGAGAGGCCCAGGAAACGAGGTGCACAGAGAGAGACAGGGAAAGGGCAGAATGAGCCATGGCCAATGAGGCAGAGAGAGGAGGCCCGGCCTGGCCCCCCAGACAGGAGCTGAGGGCCCAGACCCCGTGTGGGGGTGACCCCCTCCCTGACCCTGTGGAGAACGACCCCCCAAGGCCCCCAGGCCCAGACTGGGGAGCCAGGTGAAGGGTTCGGTGACCTCAAGGGTCCTCAGGCGCCTGGCTCTCGCAGGGCTGGGTCCAGGTCCGGCGTCCAGGCGCAGGCTGTCCCTCTCTGGCTGTGTGCCTGCCCTGGGGCCAGTCCCTTCACCTCTCCGTGCCTCAGTTTCCTCCTCTGCCAAGTGGGTTCGCCGAGAGCGCAGCCCTCCCAGGCTGGCTGAGCATTCAGGCAGCTCAAGGAACTTCTAGAAAGGGCCTCGCACGGCCCGACCCACAGCAGGTGCGGGGAAATGCGGAGCCACAATGCGTATTAATAGTGTGATTACTATTGTTGTTTCCAGACCATCAAAACACCCGGCGGCGAAGACCCGCCCCTCCGCCAATCAGGGCTCAGCCCCTCGCCCGCCCCGCCCCCTGATGTCTAGGCCACGCCCCCTCCTCCCCGGCGCTCTCCCAACCCTGCGCCGTTACATCCTTTTTCCACCGTCGCCTGCAGCTCCAAGAACAATAACTGGGAGTGGGGGGTGGGGAGGTTCACGGGGACCCCTCCCCCGAGATGCAGCGCGAACAAGCCGGGTGACAGGCGGGAACAATGCTGCCTGCTAATTGTTGCAATTTTCCCCTGTCATTTTTGCTAATTCCTTCATTTTCCCTCTCAGAGGATCAGCCCAGGTCAGACTGAACGGCT